CGTTTCTTCCCGACAAATGTCTCTCCCCACAGCGTCTCCTTAAGTCTCAGTCTCCAGGTGTGCCTTGTGGAGAGGGGCGGGACGCTCCCGAGTAGTTGAGCCTGCCTGCATTGTTCCCTCCTTCTCTCTACTCTCCGTGCTCTGGGATCAGGTGGGGGTGGCCCTTGCTCATCGCCTGAACTCTGCCTCTCTTGTTCATCCTGTCCCAATCCTGAAGGGCCTCGGCCTGCTCTTCCCCACATTCCTCTGGGGCCACAGACCCCTCTCCCTCGGCCTCCGTAGGGTCCCCTTCCAGCTCATTTTCCTCCGCAGATCCAGGCTCCAACGGAGGCATGACATATTTACTGTGGGCTAAAGAGGCTGTACGTCCCCCTTGGGAGAGGGGTTAATTCTTAAGCCAAGTTGAGAGTCCCCCCCCCTATGAAGGGCTCTCTCACAAGAATGGGAAGGCCCAGGTCAGTGAACGGAGAAGCTTTAAATGAGCGCGAACACCTTGATGTGTCCTGCAGAAACGACGGGAGCGAGAAATCCAACAGCAGATGGAAAGCCGGGATGAAGAGACCCTGGAGCTGAAGGAGACCTACAGCTCCTTACAGCAGGAGGTGGACATCAAAACGAAAAAGCTGAAAAAGGTGATGACCAGTCAAGGAGAGTCTTTGTAGCTCAGGGTTGGAATGAGGGGGTCCTTGGGGATCCCTGAGCTGCTGGGTAGTTGGTCTTGTAGACGTTTCGTGACCCAACTGGGGAGCATCATCCATGCTAGAAGGGAAAGAGGTTGTGGGGGGAGGAGGAGGAGGAGGAGGAGGAGGAGGAGGAAAAGACTGTGGGGTCCTTGGTGTTCTCTGAGCTGGGTGGTTTTCTTGCAGATGTTTCATGACCCAACTAGGGAACATCATCAGTGCTAGAAGGGAGGGAGGTTGTGGAGAGGAGGAGGAGGAGGAGGAGGAGGAGGAGGAGGAGGATTATGGGTTCCTTGGTGCTCTCTGAGTTTGGTGGTTTGCTTACAGACGTTTCATGACCCAACTGGGGAACATCATCAGTGCGAGGAGGAGGAGGAGGAGGAGGAAGAACTGTGGGGTCCTTGGTGCTCTCTGAGCTTGTCTGTTTTCTTGCAGACCTTTCATGACCCAACTAGGGAACATCATCAGTGCTAGAAGGGAGGGAGGTTGTGGAGAGGAGGAGGAGGAGGATTATGGGTTCCTTGGTGCTCTCTGAGTTTGGTGATTTGCTTGCAGACATTTCGTTACCCAACTGGGGAACATCATCACTGTTAGGGGGGTTGTGAGGAGGAGGAAGCTGTGAGGACCTTGGATCTCTCTGAGCTGGGCTGCTTTTTTGCAGATGTTTCATTGCACAAGTAGGTAGCATCATCAGTGCTAGAAGGGGGGTGGTGTGGAAAAGAAAAGAAAGAAGAAAAGAAGAGGAGGAGGAGGAGGTCTGGTCAGGATCGAACTCCCGGCTGTGGGCAGAGTTTGCCTGAAATACACCATTCTAACCACCGCACTTCCACCGCTCATCTATCATCTATGATAGATAGAGATAATAGAGATGATAGATCAGCGGTTCTCAACCTATGGGTCGCGACCCCATTTGGGGTCGATCGACCATTTTTCGGGGGTCGCCAAAGGCGGCGATCCGCCATTTTCTCCCCTCCGGGGGCGCTGCCGCGCATGCGCATGGGGGCGGCGGCGCGCCTCCGGGGGTGGTGCTGCGCATGCGCACCACGCGTGGGGGCTGCACCACGCATGTGCGCCGCGTGGAGCCGCCGCCACGCATGAGCACCGCGCATGGTGGCGCCGCACCACGCATGCGCATAATGTTTGTGTGATGGGGGTCGCCGTCACACAAACGTTGAGAACCGCTGTGATAGATAGATAGATAGATAGATAGATAGATAGATAGATAGATAGATAGATAGATAGAGAAATGATAGGTGATAAGAGATGAGAGATGGATGGATGGATGGATAGGTAGATAGGTAGGTAGATAGATTTGGATGGATAGATAGATGATAGGTGATGAGGAATGAGAGATAGATAGCTATAGATAGATAATATATAGAGATACAGATGATAGATCAGTGATGGCAAACCTTTTAGAGACTGAGTGCCCAACTGCAACCCAAAACCCACATGCATTGTCGAGGGCCAAGTGGGCGTGGCCCATTGGGTGGGCATGGCCAATTGGGTGGGCGTGGCTGCAGTGGTAATGGCAGACTGGGTGGGACTAAAAAGTTCAATCAATTTCAACTTTGCAAGATCTTTTTTTTCCCACGAGAAGTTGAAAAAAAGGTTGATTGATTGAACCTTTTTTTTTTTTTTTTGCACACGGCGGCGGAGGCCTAAAGCGAAAAGGTTTTATAAAACCCAGCTGAAGGCCTAGGACTGGGGCAATGGCACGCGTGCCCACAGAGAGGGTTCTGAGTGCCGCCTCTGGCACCCCTGCCATAAGTTCGCCACCACTGTGATAGATGATCGATAGATAGAGATGAGAGATAGATGATAGGTAGATGAGAGATGGGGGTGTGTGTGTTGAACAATAGACATATATTTCTTCGTAGTGCTTTCCAGCCCTCTCTAAGCAGTATATATTTACATTGCCTCCAACCATCTGGGTCCTCATTTTACCAACCTCGGAAGGCTTGAGCCAGTCACGATCAAACTCCAGGCTGTGGGCAGGCTCTGCCTGCAATGCCGCATTCTAGCCACTGCCCACACATGGTCTTTTGCGCAGAGGTAGTAGCCTTGGGCATGTCCCCCTCGACAGCTGTATTCCTCTCTTCCAGCTGTTTTCTAAGCTGCAAGCTGTGAAGGCCGAAATCCACGACCTGCAGGAGGAGCACATCAAGGAGAGGCAAGAACTGGAACAGACCCAGAACGAGCTGACCCGGGAGCTCAAGCTGAAGTAGGTTCCAACTAACCCGTGTATTATTGTTTTAAGGTCTAGAACAGAGGCGGCTCCTTGATCCCTTGTGGACTACAACTCTCCAGAATTCCTGAGCCAGCCCGGGAAGCCAGAATCCCAGGGATGGAAGTCTACAAGCCATAACAGGGCTATCCTTCCCACTCCCACCCCACCCCAGGTCCAGAACGTGGGAGGGAAGGAACGGGACGGTTGTCAGCTGCCCCAGAGACAAGAACTGTTGACGTGGTCCATCTGGGAAGTGTAGTCCGGCAAGGAAGACATCGTCTGGGTTCCCACCAGGCCGCCGTCTCTCACTTTCTCCTTTCCCGATCTGACCCAGGCACTTGATCATTGAGAACTTCATTCCTCTGGAAGAGAAGAACAAGATCATGAACAGATCCTTCTTTGACGAGGAGGAGGACCAGTGGAAACTTCACCCCATCACCCGACTGGAGTGAGTCCTCTTTCCCTTGGAGGGTTGAGGGAGACGTCTGTTCTGCCCCAGCCGACGTGAGTCCTGGTTATGCTCACCAGGAGAAACAAGGCAAACAAAACACAGTTCACAAAAACTCAAGTCCTTAACACAGGGGTGGCGAACCTATGGCACGCGTGCCACAGGTGGCACACAGAGCCGTCCCTGTGGGCACGTGTGGCATCACCCCAGAGGGAGGCGGGGCCAGGCTGCTCCCCGCCCCCTCTCCATGTGCTCCTGCACTCTTGCTCTCTTTCTCTCTGCACCATGTCTTCCTCCACCCCCTTTAATATCATCTCTTCCCCCGCCCCCTTTAATATCATCTCTTCCCCCACCCCCTTTAATATCTCCTCCCCCACCCCCTTTAATATCAGTGAGGCTCCTCCAGTGGACCATGACCCCGACCCTCGCCCCAGTCTCATCCCCCCTCCGCCGCAGACCCCCAGATCTGCCCCAGTCCTGGCCAGGTCCGCATAAGTGCCCTTTACACGAGTGGTGTCGAGCTGGCCATGCCCACTCAATAGTCCACAGCCACGCCCACCCAGTGGGCCACGCCCATCTGGCACCCGACGATGCATAAGTGGAGTTTGGGTTGCAGTTTGGGCACTTGGTGTCTAAAAGGTTCGCCATCACTGCCTAAACACAAATGGCTGCCTTCGGCCACCAGCACCTCCCACACCTTCCCTTTTATGATGCAGCCCAGGCGTGGCTTCCTAATGCCTTTTCCTTTGCAGCCACCCCATTGCATCCCTCTGTCCTACTCGCTTCTCTTGCCTGCGCATTCGTGCATCCGGGATTTGTCCCAGCGGTTCTTCATCCCTGTCCAACTCAGGCTCCCAGCACAGCTGGGTCTCAGCCTGAGCGCGAGTAGAGGGGCCAGGCTCCTCGTCCGACTGTAAGTCTTGGAGCTCCTCAGAGCCTTCCTCCGACTCTGATGTCACGCCAGGGCCCCTCTCCTCCTCCTCTGAGTCCTCACACTCAGCTGCCGGGTCCACTGGCTGGCGAGGAATCACAACAATGTCCAGGTTCACAAACAGGTGATTCCAGACTCACAACACTTCGCTTCGTGACCATTTAAAGCAGCGGTTCTTCACCTGTGGGTCGGGACCCCATTTGGGGTCGAACGACCATTTCACGGGGGTCACCAAACAACGCAGTCCGCCATTTTTTTCCCCCTTTTCCTTAGCTGTGCTACTCCCTTTTATTCTCTTGGCTTTTGAAAGCCAATAGAATAGACTCTCTTGAATAGAGTCTTATTCTATTGGCTTTCCAAAGCCAATAGGAATTGTCCAGGCTGTCTCTGCCCTGCTGAGCCCGCCAAAAGTCCCATTCTGCAAATGGTGCTGCACCAGTTGAGTAGTCCTCGACTTACGACCGGTTGAGTAGTCCTTGACTTACGACCAGTTAGGGGTCGTGGCATTAAAAAGGTTGAGAACCACTGGTATAGATCCTGTTTACAATTCTTGTTTGAAGAATCTTTGAAACCTTCTTACTAGTTAAGATTTTCATTACACTTAAAAGTATTTAAGTCTTTTGCCTCATACAGGAGGATGGGCATTGTGTATTTGACTTGCTGTCTCCCTTCCCTGTTCCAGGAACCAACAGATGATGAGAAGGCCGGTTTCCGCTGTGGGATACAAGAGGCCCCTGAGTCAGCACGCAAGAATGTCCATGATGGTCCGCCCGGAAGCTCGGTACAGGGTGAGCTCAGACTGTGTTTTGTGGGGGAGATCGGGAATAAAAATAAGGAGTGTCATGAAAATTAAATACATCTGAGAAAGATGTGCAGTCGGTATTAAAACAGGCCTTTGAGTCCTATTAAAAATAGTGTGATTTCCCTTTGGGGGTCTATGGAGATTCCAAGTCATCCAGGATCCTGGTTGTCCCAAAGATGCTTTGTTCAGGAGGCAACTGGACTTGCTTGTTTTTCCTTGAAGACTTTTCGCTTCTCATCCAAGAAGCTTCTTCAGGTTCTGACTGGATGGTAGAGAAAGGAAGGATTTATACTCCTTGCAGACAGCTGGTCATTTGCATTCCTTTTAGAGAGTCCTTGAGGCCACTTGAGGCTTATCTGTGTCCTCAGGGTCACCGGAGCGGTGCAAATGGGTTTAGAATTCCTTTCAGCAGTCCCAAGAAGTCTCAGTCACTTGTCTGAAATGGTCTAGGTCCTCCTGCTTAAGTAGGGGGCTGGTATCTTCCAGTTCTATTCTATTCCATTCCATTCCATTCTATTCTGTATTTCTATTCTATTATACTCCATTCCATTCAATTCCATTCCTTTCTGTATTTCTATTCTATTCTATTCTATTCTATTCTATTCTATAATCTTTATTCTATTCTATTCTATTCCATTCCATTCTATTTTGTATTTGTATTCTATTCCATTCCATTCCATTCCATTCCTTTCTGTATTTCTATTCTATTCTATTCCATTCCATTCCATTCCATTCCATTCCTTTCTGTATTTCTATTCTATTCTATTCTATTCTATTCTATTCTATTCTATTCTATTCTATTCTATTCTATTCTATTCTATTCTATTCTATTCCATTCCATTCCATTCCATTCTGTTCCGTATTTCTATTCTATCCTATCCTGTCCTGTCCTGTCCTGTATTTCTATTCTATTCTATTCTATTCTATTCTATTCTGTATTTCTATTCTATTCTATTCTGTATTTCTATTCTGTTCTGTTCTGTTCTGTTCTACTCTCTACTCCACTCCACTCCATTCCATTCTTATGACAACCTGTCTCGTAGAAAAATAGAATTAGCTGAGAACCTTAAACTGCTTACTCTTTGAAGATCTCCGGAGTGTCAGATCTCACTCTGGGGAAAGAGGGCAGGTCATTCCATCCTTCAGTATTCCTGGATTGATATAGGAGGAGTGGCAGAATCTGGGGGCGGAGTTAAAAGAGGGATCAGCCTAGAATCCCTATGTAGCCAAAAGCAGACTAATTCCAACCGTCTTTAAATTCCCTGGACTCTTATCTAACTCCCATCAGGTGCCAACCATGAGTTGAGAAGATTTCCTGCAGGAACTCCAATCTGTGGCCTTTATTAATTGCCTCATATTTAATTATGAGAGCCATACAGCGTCCCATTGTTATATCTTGGTGTGGCTTACCAAAGACGACAATAAACCCAAAATAAAGGGTATTTAAAAAAAAAAACCTAGGAAAAAAAATCAACATTTAAAAAAAACCCAGACATTATTACCCTGTTGAAATCATCAAGTTATTCAGCTCTGCCTGGAATTTGGACTATTTAGGCAGAAAACATCGTCCTGCTGGAACTGGATATGCCCAGTCGGACCACGCGGGATTACGAGGGCCCGGCCATCGCCCCCAAAGTCCAGGCAGCTCTTGAAGCCGCTCTGCAAGATGAAGATGAGATCCAAGTGGACGCCTCTACTTTTGAGAGCACGTCGAAGAAATCGAAATCCCGGTGAGCTGGAATGTGTTCTTTCGGGAGTCTAAGAAGTTGGAGGGCTGAATCGGCTGGTTTTTCAGCCTCCTCAACTGGGGAAGAGATTTCTGTTTGTTTGTTTTTTAAAAAAAGTATCTGCTAGAGATGCAGGCATTTCTGAAATACTGAGACATAAATGTATTTGCGCGGCCCGGTTTCTGATTTAGATCAGGGCTTTTCAACCTTTTCACCCATTGTACCACTTTTAGGCTATGGCAATATCCGAGGACCACCAGTCGCCTAGCAAGGGGTCAAAAACTTGATGATCCCCCCCCCAAAAAAGGAAAAAAGTGATAAAGTACACGTAGTCCTCGACTTACAACAGTTCGCTTAGTTCACTTAGTGAAGTGACAGTGGCCCTGAAAAAAGTGCTCCCCAAGCCACAGCCGAGCAAGACCCCTGCCTGCCCGCCCGGCGGTGCTCTTCCTCCTGTCCGAGGTTTTCATTGTTGTGAGCATTTCTGTTGAGGATTGGCAGCGGGGGTGGGGTGGGGGGTGTTTGGTTTTTATTTCCCCCCCCCCGTCTGCTGGGTGGTTGCAGCAGGTTTGGGTCACTTCACATGACCCTGGGACACTATGGCCGTCATAAATAGGAATCAGTTGCCAAGCCTCTGAATGTAAATCACAAGACCCTGGAGAGGCTGCAACATTCCAGCTGATCGGCGCTTCTTCTGGGCTCAGCGGAAGCTCCAGGATCAGTGCTGCTTTCCAGCTGATTGGTGCTTCTTCAGGGCTCAGCAGAAGCACTAGGATCAGTGCCAAGCTCCAGCTGGAGCCTGGTGCTGATCCTGGTGTTTCCACTGAGCCCTGACAGCCCCGAAGAAGCACCGATCAGCTGGAAAGCAGCACTGATCCTGGCCCTTCCGCTGAGCCCTGACAGCCCTGCAGCTCCAGCCGTCTCTCGGTCAGGCTTGTGCGGTGCTGCCACCGGTTCAGCTCATTCCCCTCCCCCACTACCCCTTTTCTAGGATGGTCGCGTACCACCTGCCAGCTGCCAATGTACCACCGGTGGTACCCGTCCCACTGGTTGAAAAGCCCTGATTTAGATCACGATTTGTCGTCTTTTCTACCTGTGAACGCGCCGTCATGACGTTTTGTTTGGAAAGTTGGCTCCTTTCGTCACGCGTCTCCTCTTTATTTTGCATTCCGCAGGCCTAAAACTGGAAGGAAGTCGGGCAGCTCCCCGTCCAGCGCCTCCACCTCTCAGCTGTACCCCCAGTCTCGCGGGCTGGTCCCCAAGTAAAAACCGGTCGCGCCTGCCGAGGGCAGGGCTCCCATTTTGCCGTCAAATGCAGAGGCGAGGTAACGAAGCCATGAGGCGTTAGGACTTATAAAAAGGAGGCCCGAGTCCAGAAGACGGCCTTTTTTGAGAAGAAACAGCAGCCTCTTCTGCATCTGGCGGGTCAGGCTCCCCAGGGCGGTCTCTGGCCTACCGCGAAGGAACGGTTTTTCTCCTTGGGCTGCGGGGTTGAAGGCGCAGCGAGCTTTTAGTTAGCAAATCGGAAATGCATGAGTTACTTTAGCGCATCTTAGAAGCCCAGAGAAGCACGGGGAGCGGTGGCGGCGATGGGGGCGTCTCCTTCCCCCCCATTGCCCCCCCCCGTGGCCTTCTCTCTCTTCCTTTTCCGCTTCCTTTTCTCGCCCCTGGCTCTCCGATTCCCGGAGCCAAAGGCCAGCGGTCACCTCGATGACGCCCGGTAGCAAGGTTGAGAAGTGACGAGAGGATTTTTGGTTGGGGTTTTGTTTTGGTTTTTTTTTGTTTGTTTGTTTGTTTTGCTAGCCATGCCGACTTTTTTTCTCCCCCCCCCCTCCTCCCTTCTCCCCTTTCCATTGAAAGACTGGCACTTTTGTGGGGCGGGTTGAAACTGCGAAAGAGGCGAGGCCGAAACATACCACTGAAGCTTTTCGGTCGAAAACGCCAAAGGGGAACCCGCTCTCCATTTTATTTTTATTTTTATTTTTTGGCAATAGAAGGTAGGCAGTTCCATCAATCCTTGGCTTGTTTGCAAGGACGAATTAAAAAAAAAACAAGAACCACCAAACACGGTTCCAGGTGGATCGGTTTCCTGGAGAACCTCAGCCGTGGAGACCAGGAGGGTCAACCTGGTCTAGCAGTTGTCCACCCATAGTTGTCCCCTTCCTCTCCTCACCATCTCCTCCTCTACAAGCTGGGAGCGTTTGTGACCCAAGGCTTCCTTGTCTTCCACTGTAGCTTCTCATCTCCAGTTTCCCCCCCTCCCAGGAGAAATTAAACCTCTGGGGGGGGGTGTCTTCTGCTCTCCTCTCAATGGCAGCGTTACCAATCGGAGCCACGCTTGAGAGGGAGGGGGGTGGACAACAAATATCTGGGTCGACAGGTTCCAACTCCCGTCCTCTTTTTTTGCTCCTAGTAGTTAGTAAGGCAGGCTACTGAGCACGGGGTGGAAAGTGAATGCTGCTGAAAAAGTGGGGTGGGGGTCCAAGAGCTGAAGACTGTGCCCCCCCACCCCCCCAACACCTTTGTATTGTTTTATAGTTCGGTTTGTGTATTTAACTTTGTTGCACATGGCAAGTTCAGTTGTGGCAAGTTCAGTTGTCTCCCCCCCCCCTTTTTTTTTTTTTACATTGACGGTTGTAACTGTGAATATATTCTCATCGGCTCTTTTCCCCGACATGTTTTTAACGCCCGTGTTTTCTTCAACTGTGTATAAGGGTGTACGTCTGCATGGGTCCGTCAGGACATTACTCTTAAGCGTAAGGGTCCTTGGTACGTGTTCTCTATTCGGGGGGGGGGGGAGGAGGCGTAAGTATTCCAGGGTCTTGCACCCTCTCGAAGGAGACCCCCCCCAAGAGGCGTTCTGCCGGCGTGGTGCCTCAGGAGACACACACACACCCCAGCCTCACTCCACGTTACCTTCTGCTTTTAAGTTTGCCAAGTACGTTTCTGGATTGGCGAGCAGCTGATCAGCCACGGATCAGGGGGGCATTGATTTGGTGAGCTGGTTTGGCTTTTTAGAAACTCTGCCCAGCCTACCCACCCCTATTTTGCTGTGGCTAATTCCCTCTGTAATTAAAAACAAAATAAATAAAATGGACTGACTTAGAAGTGGAAGCTCAGCGACGAATCCAAAGATGATAAAAAGTATGCAAAGATGAAGCCCGGCGCCAGCCTATTGCTTTTCCACTGTTGAGCAGGCAGAACAAGGCCGGTCCAGAGCGTCATCCACCTTCTTGGCAAGCATGCAGCAGAAAGAGAAGTGGGAGTACTGACCTGTTTCCCTAACGGCCGGCTGCGTTTCTGACTTCCCCTGCTTTTCCCCACGCCAAAAACTTTTCTCCGTCTTCACCTTTCCTGTCCTGCCCTCTTAACGAGCGTTTTCTGAAGCTGACACCCCCTTTGGAAACATTTTCATAAACCGGGGTGTCCGCTATTGCCTTGTTATTTAAGGCAGCCCTTCCTGACTTGCTATCCCTAAATATGTTGAATTGACTCCTCGTATCCCACGCCGGCTAGGAACACGAAACCTTGGTACTACGCTCAACCAATAGAGCAGGGGTCCCCAATGCTGGCAACTTTGAAGACTTGCGAACTTCAGCTCCCAGAATTCCTGCGATGCTGGCTGAGGACTTCTGGGAGTTGAAGTCCTGCAGTAGAGGATCTGTTAAGGCCTATGGGAAATTCATTCGCTGGGCTCCTGACCTGTGCGTAAGTCCCACTGGAGTGCATAAGCGTCCCTTGGTTCCAGCGAGGAATATTATCCATATGAGAGATGCTACTGTTTCCTGCAAGCAATGTTTCCTTCCCGAGGTTACATCTAACCGACTACTGTTTTATCTGTACATAAAGAACACTGTCAATAGTTCTTTCTCTGTCCATGGATTTAAAGCTTGTTATCTGTAATAGCCTCTCTCGTCTAGGAATGTAAAAGTGCACCTGCAAAAATATAATAAAAACCATCTGGATTTATTGTCTGTAAAAGAACACATTTCCTTGGAGTTTTTGCCATGCTTTATTTAACACCGTACATGCAGACCAGCTTTATAGGATAGCCTGATGAAATAAGATGTTGAGACTCTAGAACAGTGGTTCTCAACCTTTTTAACACCGCGACCCCCAACCGGTCATAAGTCGAGGACTACCCAACCGGTCGTAAGTCGAGGACTTTCCCTGTCCGGGAGCGCTGTGCATGCGTGGTGCCGCCCCCTGCGCCGGCCGAGGCGTAGCTGGCAAGCGGCAGAGACGGCACAGGCCGACCACCAGCTGGGCCATCAGCTGGCCCAGCCCAAGGGAGGTAAGGCACCCGCCGGGCTCCACGTGCGCCAGCAACCCTCCCTGCGCCCTCCGGTCTCCCACCTCCCACCCCTGGCCCTCTTTTCCTTACACTTTTAGTAGTTGCTCAGCAGGGAGGGGTGGAAGCTTCCAGACAGCTCGCCTTCGCTGCAGACAACTTGCAGCACCATTTGCAGACTGGGACTTTTGGGGGGCTCAGCAGGGCAGAGACAGCCTGGACAATTCCTATTGGCTTTTGAAAGCCGATAGAATTAGACTCTATTCAAGAGAGTCTATTCTATTGGCTTTTGAAAGCCAATAGAATAAAAGGGAGGAGCACAGCTAAGGAAAAGGGGGAAAAAAAGTGGCGGACTGCGTTGTTTGGCGACCCCCGTGAAATGGTCGTTCGACCCCAAATGGGGTCCCGACCCACAGGTTGAGAACCGCTGCACTAGAAAGAGTACAGAGAAGAGCAACAAAGAGGATTGGGACTGGAGGCTAAAACATGTAAGGAACAGTTGCTGGAATTGGGGATGTCTAGTCTAAGGAAGAGAAGGATGAGGGGGGAGATGATAGCAGCCTTCCAGTCTCTCGGGGGCTGCCCCAAAGAAGAGGGAGTCAAGCTCTTCTCCAAAGCACCAGAAGGCAGGACAAGAAGCAACGGAGGAAAACTCATCAAGGAGAGAAGCAACCTGGAACTAAGGAGAAACTTCCTGACAGTGAGGACAATTAATCAATGGAACAACCTGCCTCTAGAAGCGGTGAATGCTCCAAGTTTTTAAGAAGAGACTGGACAGCCATTTGTCCGAAATGGTATAGGTCAGCGGTGGCGAACCTATGGCACGGGTGCCAGAGGCGGCACTCAGAGCCCGCTCTGTGGGCACTTGCGCCATTGCCCCAGTCCCAGGCCTTCAGCTAGGTTTTATAAAACCTTTTCGCTTTAGGCCTCTGCTGCTGTGTGCAAAAAAAAAAAAAAAGGTTCAGTCAATTTCAACTTCTCACGGGGAAAAAAAAGATCTTGCAAAGTTG